ATTTTTTTTTTTTTTTTTACTTTTTGGGTACTAAGAGGGCCTCTTTTAGTAACCCCATTATGGGTTTGGCCAGGCTCACAATGGGGTGACCAGGTGGTGAAGGACAGGGCATAACATATCTGGATGGGCCACAACCTGAAAAATTTCTGGGGTTTTTTTAACCCATCCAGATTTAATCCTGGATCTTCCAGAGTGGTGGTAGGCTGCTACCTTGACCATTCAGTCATCCAGCCATCAACGCACTGGAGTTATGTAGAATCCCTATTGGGATGATAGATTATTTGGATGATGTCCAGAATACATAGGGTCTATCAACTTCTTGCTATCTGGTAGGCTAAAGGAACATAAATATTCAGTAGATAGGAGAAAATGATCACAGTGCCTTCCACCTTTGCATCAGAACTGGAAGTTAAAGTAAATCTAGACAGCATGGAGCTGTTGCTTACGGTCTTTAATTCTTTAAATATTTGAATTAGACATCGTTTCTTTTTGAAATGTGTTCAATTGGAGAATGTTACGTTTTCGTTCAGTGTTTTAACACCAATTTCTTAGTTGAATTTATGACCTGAAGAAGGCCTATCAAAGAGGCCAAAAACATTTGTGAAATAAATTTTATTTACTGCTGGAAAAGGAGGTCTTTACTTGTGTTTGATTTCATTTTCCAGTTTGTCTCATCTCTAATTGATCAAAATATTTTTGCATAATGAGTTTGGTAAAAAATTTTTTAAATAGGAAAATTTTTGAAAATATTTAAGACCTCATCATTCTGCTAGCATTCCCCCCACCCCATGTCACAATCTGTCATAAAATTTGTACATATTACCTCAGGACAGATATCATATTTGAATGACCTCCCCCATTTATTGATAAATAAATTATTTTTAATGGAAAACATTATATATTTGTAATTTCTCATAATTTCAAGGAAAATTTTTTATTTTAAGCAGTAAAAATCTTTTTGATATAAATTTTAATCTGAATTTAATTAATTCCAAATAATCTGCCAGATTTGTTGGACAGATTGTTTGGCATTAATTAATAATCAAGTGATTGGATTTTCCAAATTTAATTGTTAGTTCTTTTTTCTGAAATAGACATTTTCAGTTAAAATGTGAAAATTTCATATTAAAAAAGAAAAGTAAAGAATGATTTTCATATATATTATATATTGAGCTATATCTTATGATAAAATATACTGTTTAGTGATATTTCAATTTAGAATTTCATGAAACTTTATTGCATTGAATATGATTTTGTAATCTATTTAGTAATATATAATATGAATTGTAAAAATTAATTTAAATATCAATTATGATAAAATTTAATCATCAAAAATTCAATATTTTTTCATATTTTATTTTTGTTTACCACATCTATGAGGTCCCAGACATGATCTGGACCTTCACCAAAACCCTCTCCCCAAAACAAAGAATCTGAAATGGACAAAAATCCTTTTAATAAATTGTTTGCCATTGGGATTTTCAATGATTCACATCTTGGAATAATTACTGTGGAAGAAAAATACACAACTCTTAAATTAAACTATATAAATCTCAAGATCAGTAAAAATCTCCAGTTGGGCTCAGAAATTGGCATTGAAGTAAATATCAGCATTAACTCTGCTACCTGAGTCAGTCTCAAATTACTAGTGATGGGACAATACCAAAATTTCTCCTGATTCCAATTCTTCTAAATACTTTAGAAAGTTTATTTTAGTTTAGAAAAATTAATGATTTACATTATGAGCATGATACATTCATTAATTAATAAATACAAAGTTTAAGAATGGAAAATGATTGGGAAATTCAGAATCAATCTTTCAAAAGAAACTTGAAAATTCTCCATTTATATGTGGATATGCATGTCTTTATTGTATACCAGAAAATAAATTTGTAATCTCATTTCAGATAAAATTAATACTGCAACACTACTCTTAAAGAAATTACAACTAATTTCCTTTTTACTCAAAGATCTATCTCATCATGTCACTTAAGGTTGCCATCTTTGGAAACTGCTTCATTGGCCAATGCAATAACCAGGAGAAGGTAAATGAGAAGATGCATTTCTTTATTCATGCTTCTCATAATCAGCATACTTCTTAAATGCTTTAATTCCATCATATTTAACACTAAATAAGGTTTGGCAAATGATGCAATGAACTGAATAAATATCGTCATCACAAGTTAACCAGTTTTTGAATTCATTCACTTTGAATGTTTAGACATATTCATCTTGAAAAATAAATTTTTAAAACTCAAAGTAGCAGTAAACTTAGTGTCAACATGTATTTTTACTTAGAATTCAGTGAATTACATTTGAAAATTTAACATATTACAGCATCTTCTATGAATCATAACAAAAACTTTTATAGTTATAATGAGAATATAAGACACTGTCTTACTTTCGGGGAAACATGGTAGTGACAAGTAAATTTGGAGACAAATATATTTGACTTAAGTTGTCTTTCCTGGAACTAATTACCGACGTAAGGTCAAGATTAAATTGACAGATTACAGATAAAGTAACGTTTTTGATTCCCATAGGCATAAAACAGGGATACTCCAGATAAATGATGCAGCAATTAATATAGTTCTTGGGCACAACAGAGGGATGATGGCAACATTTACTTGACAGGCAAGGTAATAACCCTATTAGAGTGGTCACTTACAATAAGTTGCTAGAAATGGTTTATAAAGAAGACACACTATATTTAGATTATGCTATCACAAGAACTTCCACTTTATTTAAATTACTGTGCAATGATAAATACAAGGTGTACAAACTGANAAGTTTTGAAATTTTTAAATTGTAAATCAAATTACAGCTGTCCCTTGATAATCCGACAGGTATGGGACCAAAGGGGTGTCAGATTACCAAAAGTGTCTGGATTACCGAAAGTGATTACATATTTGGCATTGTTTTGCTATCAGTAGCCTACAATATTCCCTACTCCAACTGTTCGAACAGAACTGCTTACAGAAAACACACGAAATGTGTGTCATCGTGTAAGAATTGGGTGGGGAGATTCACGTCGCAACATGCTTCTGTGCAAGCAGACACAACAGGGACAGGTACCTTGACAGGAGGTGCGTCGGACTACTGAGCATGTCAGATTAAAAAAACATTGGACTATCAAGGGACAGCTGTAATTTTTAAATTTACATTATTTGTGTGTTGCAGTGGTGGAACATTTTGCTATTAATATGGCCTATATACAGAGTACTGATTGCCAGTCAAACAAACCCAATACTGCAACTCTAATGTTACCCTATCTCCCCTAAAATGAGGACAGTTAGTACTGACCAAGTGCAGTTTCTCGTCACTCTGACTGTGCAAAAAAAAGTCTGCCATGACAGACATCGCCTTGTGTGTGGGGCATTGCCATTTATCAACATAAAAATTTCCAATAAACTAATACTTAATTGTTAATATCATAATTTAAAACATTTTTAATCTCTGACTGAAACAAATAATTAATTTTCTTTTAAAATTTGGAAGAATTGTTTTAAGAATTGGAAATTGTGATGAGATTTGCTTGATTCTGATTAATCATCTTGTCACTACAAATTAACCACTGGAAGCAGGTAAGAAACCAATCAGGAAGTGAGGATGAGGGAACAAGACCAACCAAAATATATGATCAAGGGACAAATTTTATAAAAATTTGTATCCCAAGGACACTGGGGCTTTTTGATCCACTTTCTGTCAGATTCATTGGCCTCTTTAGATTAATCCCATGCTGTTGCCATACTCCTTATCACTAGTGACTTCTCTTCCTTTCATTAAACTGTGTGTGCTTGTGTTTCTCTTCAACAAGAGAAGACACAGAGTAGAGAAAGCTTGTGCCCTTCTGTGAATCTGGAACTTTTTATCTCTTCCTGATGAACTTTCTCAGCATGTATGCCTAATTGATTGAACTCAGAGAATCAAGCTTTGTGGAATTTTGTCTAACTTAGCAAGAAACCAAGGATCATATAAGAGTCTCTTTTTCACAATAAATGGTTTTGTTGAATGACAAGCCTACTTTTGTACCAAACACACATACCTACATGTGTTACTACATTCTGTTACATCATTTTGGCCTATAAAAATTCTCTGTTTGGTAGAAATTCTGTCATTTTAGTGGATGTTTCAATATCAGGCTGTAATGAAAGTCACACACACTTCTCATATCTAAAAATTAATATTTAGCCAATATACAAGGGTGGTTTTTTCAAGCTCTGATGGTCCATAAAACAAAGACAAGTGTAAATAACAAAATGAATTTATTACCAAAAGTTAGGTACAAACATGGTTACTTTTTGACATAATCACCATGAAGATTGAAGCATTTGTCATATCTGTGGACAAGCTTTTCAATCCCCTCTTGTTGCTGCCAGTGACTTGTGATGGACCTTAACGTTAGTTTGAAGATCGTCATTAGTCTCAAACCTCTGCCCTTCTAGCCACGTTTTCAGTTCAGGAAACAGGTGAAGTCTTCGCCACCTTTAACCAGCGTATAGCTCCAATTTAGTGCTGAGTGACTTCCACCTCTTTCCTGAACAAAAAAGTGGCTAGGAGGGCAAATGTTCGAGACTAATTACAATCTTCAAAACAACGTTAGGGCCCATCTCAAGTCATTGGTAGCAACATTCTATGACAAGGGGGATGGAAAAACTCGTCTACAGATATTACAAATGCCTCAATCTTCGCAGTGGTTATGTTGAAATGTAACCATGTTTGTATCTAACTTTTGGTAATAAATTTATTTTGTTATTTACACTTGTTTTTTTTTTTTTTTAAGGACCATCGGAGCTTGAAAAAAAACAGCCTATGTATATCTTTTCATTTGTAAGAAAATCATTTTCATTTAAAATATCAATTGTAAAAACTTAATATTTGCTGTTAATAAAAAAATATTGTATGAATCAGATAACTTAAGCTTATTTTAGATTTTAAACTTTTTAAAGTTTTTAAACTTTTGAATTATTTAAAACTAATAACAATTTATGATTTTACAGATGTTTACTGAGAAACTGAAATATATTGAAAATCATCGTCTTATGGATGGCAGGCTGGCAATATCTGGAATTGCTGTAGGAACAGCAATGTTTGCTCTTGTCTGGGATTATTATTATCCATTTCCTCTATCTCGTCCAATACTTATTGCTTGTGTAACTACATATCCTTTTAAAAATAATAATTGTAATTTAAAATAAATTTTATGTGACAACATATAGAATACTTGGCTTGGATGTCATGCCAACAGTTAACTCAATCAAAACTTCAGACTATGAGGCGTTAAATAGAATTAAACGAAATATTTTAATCTTGCAAGCACTTTCAACGTAAATATGTACGTTGTCTTCAGGCAATTCAAAATCGAATAGATAATTCTGTTCTGTTCAAATTCTCTATTTGATTTTGAATTGCCTGAAGACGACGTACATATTTACATTGAAAGCACTTGCAAGATTAAAATATTTTGTTTAATTCTATTTAACACCTCATAGTCTGAAGTTTTGATTGAGACAACATATAGCCCTTTAATTAACAAACTTTTAATTCTTCAAAAATATTTTCTTGTTTTAAAAATATAAATTATTGTTTATTTATATTTTTAAAACAGGAATAGTTAAATATTACAGTTTACAAATATACAGTAATTTATACATTTATAAGAAATTATATTTTTACAAGTGTATTATAATATTCAATATGATTCTATTATTTGAAATCAAAAATTATCTGTAGAGTGATTTTAAGCAAAAAAATTCAATAGTAGAATCACTTATATGACAGTTCGTAATCTAAATATATAAAATTACTTGTCCTGACAGATTGACTGAGTGATTGATTCATCATTGCCCAGAGCAAACCATTGAACCTAAAGAAGTGAAATTTGGTACACAGTTAGGGTACGTCATGAAAATGCACACTAAGAGGAGAGCATTAAGACTTTACCTGAAGAATGGCTTTTACTGTACTATTTTAGATGCAATTTTTTGTTTTCAACTACATTTAGTCTTCATTGAGTACTTAGGTGTATTAAATTGATAACATTTCAGACATTGTTATAAATATATTTATATATTTCAGTTTTTTAACCAAATGTTCAAATCGTTTTAAATTTGAATTTGTTATTGCATATTGGTTCAATTATAGAACGATTGTAAATGTTCCAGAAAATTGATCAAATTGAAAACAGTTCATTTGATTCTCAGCAGTTCTCATCATTCTCAGTGGTAGGTGTTATATATAACAATTACTATGGTTGTTGAAATACTGAATATAAATGGGGTTTTCTTGCAAAATCCACACAGGCGAAGTTGTGGGTTTAGTTGTGGTTTATAACTTTGCAGGCATTTCCAAAATTTTTTATGACAGGTGAAATCAGTTGTTGACTTTAAAATGCTAAAAAGCATTTATTGTTAGAATTGTCTTCTTTTACTTATTTTGGTAAAGCTAGAAATTAATTGAGAGCATGAAATTTTGGAATTTTGTTGGATGATATTTTTTGAGTTAATTGAAGACACAGACTGTCCAAAAAAAAATTTTTGGTACACACTATTTATTCACTTTGTGTTCCAGAACAATCTTTTTGATGACCTGACCTTTTTTTTAGGCTACTTGGCCGTCAAGTTTACAAACATTCCTGTAAAAAACACAGAAATATATCTAATTAAAATTGTAAATTTTAACTTAGAGTTCATGGGTCTTATAGCCATCTTCACATTCTTCATCCTTTCCATTTGTTTGTTCTGGAACACAAAGTGAATAAATGGTCTACCAAAAATTTTTTTGGACAGTCTGTGTCTTCAATTAACCCAGCATGAAATTTGTTAAATATCATTGTTTTGTTAGCCTGATGAAAAAATTAAATGTCATTTGATTGGGTTTTTTATATAATTTTATTTTTATGTTTTCTGTAATGTAAATAATTACAGGTAATAAACTTCTTTTGCTTCCAAATTACTAAATATTCTTTTAGATGATTTTGATATTCATATTCCATATTGGCTTAACAATTATTTTATGTTGTGAGCTTTTTTGATTAATTAAATTAAACTTTTCTCCATTTTCCTTGTTATGTTGTATCTCACAGAGTATCCTGTTTTTGTTATATCAATCATGTTTTTGCTAATGTAGATATTTCTAATTTTATTCTATATGCTAATGATCAGTTCAAATTCTAGTGTTCTTCAAAACATTAATTTGCATACACTTGAAAAATATAATTTTGAAATTAACTTGTCAAGAGTGTTGACTGTATTTTGTGCTGATTTACATTCCAGTGTACTTTCCTTTTTGTATTTCAAATTATCATGTTTCATATGTTTATTCAATAAATGACTTTGGAATCCTAATTGATGGATGTCTAACTTTTTTTTCATCATATTAACAAGATTATTAAGCAAGAGTCAAAAATTTTGATCTTATTCTGTTTTTAAATGTTTTTATGGGCTGCTTTTTTCTGATAAAATATTTCTGAGTCCCCTTGCATGTTTCACATACAATGTCTTGTCTCATCTTCCAAATTATATGTTGTCCTTCTCAGGACAGTCTTTTTTTTTTATTGTGCCATTCTTAACATAAAGTCTATTGAGGAATGTCATTTTTTTAACTCTAAAAACTTGTTATCCTTTTATATATAGTTGCAATAGGGTTTTAGCATTTATTTATATTACATTTTATGCATATTGCATTTTAAGTTATTATTTCATTTTATGTATATTGTATTTTTTAAGCTTGTATGTAATTTATTTCTTTATGGGTTTTGTCTGGGAGTTTCATGCAAGGCATGGTCCTCTCAAATGTATATAATCTTTATTTTTAAAATAAATAATTCATTGTACAGTATTATACTAGAATCTATACTTATCAAAAGACTGCATTAATCAAACATAGATTAATCTTATACATTATTTACACAAGTCACAAATGTGTTATATTTTATAATTCAGTTTTTTACAAATTAAAAAAAAATTGAATATATGTAGTAGGGTCAGCAAATTTCAGGACTTGGCATATAGTTCCTTGCCTTGAATAGTTTATAACACCAACATACAACCACCCTCAAAAGAAACTCCTTTGGCAAAGATAAAGTTTTTCCAGAACTCATACAGCTTTTGGAAGCCTTCTTTTTCAATCACCTTTGATGCTGCTTTTATCTCATTTGATGACTCAAAACAATGTCAAAATAGCCTGAGATCATTTTGACATTGTTTTGAGTCATCAAAAGAAATAAAAGCAGCATCACATCAGACATTGTAGATGGTTGCAAAAGAAGTCTTACAGCAATGCTTCCTGAAACTGTACAAGTGCTGGAAAAAGTGTATCATTGCCAAAAGGGGTTTTTATTAAGGTGGTTGTATGTCAGTATTTTAAACTATTCTAGGCAAAAAACTATATGCCAAGTTCCCAAACTTTTAGATCTAAGACATATATACAGTATTTTCCTTCCGTGACCTAGAAGTTTCTGCATGTCAAAGGAGTTTGTTGAGTATTTACTTCTGCATGATATTCATGTTAAGGAAATAACTGATAAAACTATAAAAGGAAAACCCTTTTATTTCCAACTTGTAGAAAACAAAGTTTGAAAAAAGGTACTGTACATATGACCATAATTGTAAAAAAAGACCTGTGTTGAAAACTCATTGTCTTTGAAGTTCATGCAGGATGATTCTTGAGGCTTTTGTGACTTCTTACTATTTTGTAATTTCTTTTACAGAATACAAGACCCCAACATGAGGCATAGTAGACATGATGCACTGACACACATCTTGCAGAATCCATGCCATTCTTCTGTTAACCCCATTCTCAGTCACTGTTGTATCCCATATGTTTATATGCAGTGATAGGTTTTTTAGTTTTGTATGTCATACATTTGTTGTGAAAAGTGCTCTAGAAACTTTAATTTTAATAGTCTCTACAAAGTGCTTTTAATGTTGATTCATAAGGAACCATATCTACACCAGCAATGTTGAAACATCCCCATATTTGCTTCTTACATGGAAACTTAACTTGCTGTTTGATACAGCTTTTCTTCAGGCTTTTGTTTGTCTTTCTGATGACCCATCCAGTATTTCTGTAGGCCTTGAAAGGTGACTTGTCAGACCATATTATTTGACACTAATCCTGATCTATCCAATGCAGATGATCTTTAGCTCATTAATTTTGTATCCTCTCCTGGGCCTTTGTTAGCAAGGGCTTATGCTTGGCTTTGTATGATCTGTAGTCATTCTCCCTTAGCCATTTAGTGGTTATTTTGATTGAAACTTTCCTACCAATCTTTTCTTTCTGTAGTCCTGCAGTCTGTGTAAGTTCTGGTTGCTGAGCCTTGATTCCTAAGATAAGCATGCAATCTTGTCTATCCACCATAGTCTTTTGTTTTCTATGTTTTCTCTTTGGACCAAAGGATTTAGTGGAATCATAATGCTTAAAGAAAGATTGGACTGAGTGAGTATTCAGAAACAAAGGAGTTTCTCCTAATTTCTCTTATCGGGATACTTGCTAAACATTCTTTGACATCTTCCCCCTGATTTTGCAAGATAGTGTCGACTCTCCCAGTACAGAAGATCAATGTTTAGACCTGTTGGATGCCAGTTCCATTCATTGCCACAGTGCAAAGCAGAATATGCTAGTAGAAAATTACAGGGATTGATGGGATGACCATTGTTGTCAGTACTGTATGAACTTCAAGACCAGTGCTTTTACTTTTTGTGAAATCTTTTTATGTGATCTCTGCAATAATTTTTTCATTTCACTTTTTTTAAACCAATAACATTTAAAACCTTTCTCTTCCTGATTTGCATTGTCTCCACATCCTCAATAATGACACTTTTTCATATTTCAGCAGAACATTTCTTAGGATGGGGTGCACAAACTTTAGGTCTGAGGGGAAGGTACTTTATATTTTATTGGCCTAGTAGTTACTTAAATGCAACATCAGAGCCAAATTTTATACCAGACTGAAATGAAAGCTTAGCTGCTAAAAACAATTGTTTTATTATGTTTATGTGCTAATTATCTGTGTTTAAAAAGTTTTTTTAAAGATGTATTTAATATTTGTTTTCTTTACTATGATATAACTGTTGTGAATCAGATCCAATATTTCTAGATTTAGTGTATTTAATAAGACAGCTATGAAAAAGTGGTTAATTAAAAAAAATTTATTTTACTTATTTTCTTCTTGCTGATTGTTTTAACTAACTTTTGTTTTCTTATCATTAAAATAAATGTCTAAAAACATATGTTTGACACACTTATATTAATTCCTTCCATATTTGTGTATAACTTAATCAATGTTTTTATTTATTATATTTTATTTAGATTATTGTTTGATAGTAAATGTGTGTTTCATAACACACGTTTTGGAACATGGGTAGGATGACTGGGTTTTTCTGGAACAATGTACAGATTTCAGCCATAATGGAAAAGCTTTTTTTGTGTTTACAAGATTTTTATTCATAAGAGCTTTTCAGGAATGAGTTAAATAAATCTTGTAAATCTCAGTCAGGTTATAATCTGTGAATACTAAGAGTTTGCTCACTGATGTGATATATTTTATTATTTTTTTTATTGAAAATAATTTTATGAAATTGTTAAAATATTAGAAAGTATCTGAAACTATTATTTTGAGATAATGAGCCTTAATTTAATTACATATTTCATTCTGATGGGAATTCTAACCTTGTATACCACATTTTTGGAAAAAGGTATTTTTTTAGTTGCTTTTGAAAAAGACCCTTCTGGACTGGATCCAGATCAAGTTTGGACTGTTAGTTCAACATTGAAAAGGTATATATTTTTTTAAATTAAAATAAGATAAATAAATAATTATATATATATAGATAAATTTAAATTTTATAAATGAAAATTAACTGCACTGTCAATTCTAAAATGTTTGTGTTTACAGAAGGCATTCATCTTTCCTTTGTTTATAATTATAATTATTATAAGTTAGATCATATGTAAATCATTATCATAATATTACTTCTGTCGCAACAAAAAGATGTATCAGAATAATTGAAAATCATTGATCTAGTGAAATCTTATTAACAAAATTAAATATATTTTGCACTGTATTAACATTGTATACTTTTTTGTAAATACATAAATACTAATTTAAATATGCTAAAAAGTAAATTTAAAAAGGTGGAGCTAAGAAAGAAATTCTCCAGTTTATCCTTTCATCCCAGTCTCAAATTTTAAGACTATTATTACGCTACCTTTGCACAGTCAAAATACTGCGGCCATTTATTATACATTCAGCAGGACTCATTTTTAGTTATCTCATAGGTTGCTAAATAAATTTTATTAGAATTATCAATAAATTTCAAATTAAGGAATCTTAAAATTATTTAGATTTTAAATGAAATTTAATATATAATATCATTAATTCAATGATTTAGAATATGTAAAGTTTTAATAATCATAATTTTTAGATTTTTATATTTATTAATATTTAGTGTTATAGCATGCCCATGATATTGATTATAATTTTTTTATTTACAGATTTGATGATAAATATCATTTAAGTATGATACATACAAGTGGTAATTCTAAAAAATCTCAAGAATCTTCCTTAGAAAAATCAGTTAGTAGTTGGTTTGATGAAAAAGGCAATCTTATATATGATTTATTTGAACAAGATTTAATTAAACTTCATGCAAAGTTATGTGAAAAGAAAATTAATTAAGGCTATTAAATTGTTTTATATGAATATGTTTACAGTATATAGGGGCATAAACAACAAATTAAAATTTTGACTCTGAAATAGCTATTTAAAAAATTGTGCCTTATATAGCTATTATGTATTATTATACTGTAGATCATATTCTTTAATAAAAAATCTTTAAGAAAAAGCAATTCAGACATAATATCAATAAACATTTGGGACCATCAGATATAACAATTAAAAATAGTTACATTAAGAATTCACACAAATAACATCTTCCATCAGTAAATTTTAAAGTTTGTGCATAATTTATTGTCATTTAGATATTTATTTTTTCTTAAATAATTGTAATAGGAGTCTAGCTCAGAATTATGCACAAATACATTTTAAAAATATCACTTAAATACAATTTATTTGTATTTCCATAATTAAACAAAGCAAAAATTATTAAATAATTATTAAACAAAGCAAAAATATATATATTTGATTATTGAATATAAATTAAGATTTACATAAATGAGTAATTATCTGTAAGTACTCATTTTTTAAAAACCTTATTGTATATATCTGAATTGCATCATCAATTTCTGTGTATTTAAATATTACTACATTCCTAACATGGTATTTCAGAAATTTTGTCATTTGCTATTTCATATATATATATATATATACAGTATATATAAATATATTTTGATATTTGAAAATATTTAACTGCACAAAAGTTATGCATATGTAAATGTACACATTCGTGATATAAAAATGCTTACACTGTTGTTTTGCATAGTTTTTCAATGTTATCAAATATTACAAAATTTTTAATTTATAGTGCAATATTCATTAAAGTAGATGTTAAATTTCAAAACTAGCTTTTTTTTTTAATAATAATAATAATAATGTAAAATTAATGCAAAATAGAAAAGGGAAATTGTTGTTAAATTTTCAAAATATCAGTTTTTAATTCTTGGGAAATGTATACTTGCTCTAAAAATGATATATGTTGGACTTGATAGTATTTTACTAACAAGTAAAGTAGTCTTCCATATTGTGTGTAATAAAAGTATTATAAATGGTATGTGTACTTTTTCTCTGCAGTTGATAAACTTGAACATAACTAAAAATTTTAAACATTCTTCTGATAAGTTTGATAAAAAAAAGAAAAACAAAAGATGTAGTTTAGAAACAATCATGAATATCCACTAAAGTATTATTCAAAATGAAAAGAAAAGAGAGTTTTATGAAATAAAATTAGTCTGTAAACAAATATTTCATATACTGTATTTAACAAAATCTTAACACTGAAAATATTCAGCCTAATGAGAAAGCAAAAAGTTTAACTCTGTGAGCCAATGTTGACTGACCCAAATTGCATCATCATTGTCCAAGTAGGAATTGCAATATCAGTTTTCAGCCTTAATTTCCAAAACCAAAATACCAGTATTATACTGACACTAATAGTGGCTTTTCAGTATTTGCTAATAAGGAGAATACACTGCTCACAAAAATTAGAGGATATTTCAAAATGAATATGAAGTGATTAAAAAAAGCAACATTTGATTTTTTTTTATTAAACAAGAACATCAGAAAAGCAAACAAGTCAAAGAAAGTTGTTTGATTATGCAATTCAGATGCATAACCAACTTTTACTTCATCGGTGAAAATGCACTATATAAAAGGCTGAAAGTGCTGGTGAATTTGCATGTTCCCTGATCTTGAAAGTGCACATCCTGCAATTTTCCAGCTCTTTCAATGCCCTACAACACGATTTGCCCAAATGCAAAGCCTGTAGAGAGGATGTCTTGAAGCTGCTGGTCAAACAGATGACAGTGGCAACAGCATTTGGAACATCTCAAAGTGTGATTAGCAGAATGGAATTGCTTTCAAGAGACTGGCACGGTATGAAGAAGACAAGGGCAGGGTCGCCCATCTGCCACAACAGCATGAGATGGCCACTACTTGACCTTATTGGCAAAAAGGAACAGGCAAGTGATGCAACAGAGCTGAAGGGACAGTTTCTTGCTGCCACTAGATGATGGATATGCACCCAGATCACACAAAATTGGCTCCATGTTGGACTGAATGCCCTGCGGCCAATGGTATGCATTCTGTTATCTGCTGAATCCATAGAAGGTGGGCCAGTGAGCATTGTCACTGGACCCGTGATGAGTGGTCAACTTTGTTGACCACTCATCACGTCCTCTTTTCTGTTGAGTCACAGTTCAGTTTGTCACTGTATCCTGATCTGGTGTGAACGAGGAACATGGAAGAATCCACATTTCATGCCAGAAAGGGACTCCTTTGGTGGTGGTGGAATTGTGGACTGGCATTAGCGTTGGTCATACCAACCTCCATGTCATCATAAATGGATCGCTGACTGCTGTCAGATATTGAGATGAGGTCCTGCAACCTATAGTGGTACCCTATGCTGGAGCAGTTGGAAACAACTTTCTTTTCATGGACGATAATGCAAGGCCCCACCATGCACATCTTGTCAACAACATGCTTCAGGACACATGAACTGGCCTTCACAATCTCCAGACCTGAATCCCATTGAACATACTTGGTATGCATTGGGAAAATGTCTGGCAAACTGTCTAATGCCTCCCACAATGCTTGAGCTGGAAGTTGCCCTGGAGCAAGAGTGGCAGAGGATCCCACAAGAACTGCTGGACAATCTGATCCTGTCTTTGCCACATTGCCGTCAGTATATTTTGGCAATCTTGGGTGACCATACACACTACTGAATAGTCAATGTGTGGCACTCTCATCCAGTTTGACATGCTTCTGTTCATCCCCACCAATATGTCACTTGCTACTCAATTACCAGTTTGCATAATCGAACAACTTTCTTTGACTTGTCGTTTGTTTTTGTGATGTTCTCGTTTAATAAACAAAAATCAAATATTTTTTTTTTTATCATTTCATATTCATTTTGAAATATCCCCTAATTTTTGTAAGCAGTGTATAATTATTATTCATAAAAAAGCCAAGACAAGTGTTTTATTTAAAAAAAATTTACAAAATAATTGAAGAACCACAAAATGTGTTCATTTTTTTGTCCTCACACTAGGTGAATAAACCAGTTTTACACTAGATAAAAAGTTGACTGCAATAAGACTGGTTTATTCTGATGTGACATGGACTAAAACTAAAGACATTTTGTGGTTCTTCAATTTTATGAAATTTTTTTAAAAAATTATAATTCATTTTTAAGTTTTAAAGGATAAGAATGTAAGTTATACAAAAAACTACATATAAAGTATCAAAATATTTAGTATTTTTAACAAGGCTCTTTCATATCTTCAGTTCTGTGCCAACTAATTACCAGGAGGATGACCAGACTATGAAGTTGAACCATACAATGATGGAATGATAATGGAGGGTCAAGAATGCTATGATAAATCTGATGGTGAAGTCTGTCTCCCAGAAATTTAGTCTAATAAAAGAGATATGCCAAATAAATGTTTTGATGTTCCAACTAAAAATTAAATTTACAAAAACGTAACATGAGTATGAAAAGAACCATGTTTACTTTTGTGCTCCCAATTCCATGGAATAGCATGATGACTATGCTTCAGTGTTTCTTTGATATGTGCTTTGCATAGTTGTCAACCATCAGTGTTTTGTATGTTCTATCAGTGGCAGGCTGCTTTTCCCTTTTGTCAGCATTTTTAAAGAATCTGATATGACTTAAAACACTTTAACAAGATTAATACCAATATATATGCCAAAGACATGTATATATTAATATATAATATTACAAATGACTGAAATGAATCAGAATGACATTCTCAGATTCATTCAATTGGGAAAACCAAGATTGATACTTTTATATATGTATGAGAAATTTAGCTGAAATATAGTTTTAAATGGCAGATATGATAAATTGCATCTTCAAGTCTGGAAATGTTAATACCATCACATTGGCAGTTAAATCAATTGTGGCCGACTCATCAGTGAAATGAAACAAGTTACTTTTACAGTTAGACCAAATTATTCAGCAGTGCTATAGTTTCTCCACCCAAAAAGAAGAAACATTTGATAAAAATTGTCAGGACCAATAAGTTAGTAACAAAATTTAAGAAAAATTCTTAAAAAAGAGACAATACATAAAAGTGTCTTCTAAGGGACAACTAAAAAAATTGTATTAGAATTCCCTGTATTAGAAATCAGAGCAAAATATGCATTGTCTAATTTCTGATTGAATAAATTAACTGTAATTAATACGGGCAAGTATCGATTGAACATTCTTTATTCAAGAAAGTTTTACATAATACAGGCTATAATTAAAATGTTAACAATTTAGGTATTGATATGAAGTTGTTATAATGAAATTCATTAAGAGGAAAACGTGTTTCCAACAACCTTATAAACTGTTCTGTATATTAAAAACAGAAAATTGCAATTAAAAAATGTCAGCAAATTCAAAAATATTAACTTCGTTTCCAAAAAGTTTTACAAATCGCGCTGACATTCTAACATTAAATTTTTCTGCTAGTGAAAACTCATCAATCAGAACGACTAATTTCTTTAGAGAGAGATTATAATGTAAATGATATTACGATTTCGTATATCCCATCTTTAAGGGGGTGTAGAAAAAAACGTGTACAATTCTTGTATAATGTTAAAAAATTAACCGTTACTTCGACAGCGTCATTTACAACTAAATTTAATGAATGAGAGAGATGCACCAGGTACAGAAAAAGCTCTTAGAATTTATTTTCCTTAAATTTACGATTTATGTATCCGTTTGGCATAAAAATTTGTCTTTCCACATTTTCCCGAGACTACAAATATTCCGAGTACAAAGTAACCGGTTTCGACTTATTTCTACTTAAGAAGTAGTTAAATAATTAAGCGATTAGGGAATTGGGGACATAAACAAAATTCTGACGAAAGAGCCGAAATTTTACTTAAACAAAAGCTTAACCGAATCATCTCTAGCCGTGTACAGTGGAGACTGATTTCTTCGTATTATTAATGTAATAAAAACAGAAATTTTTCCAGTTCAATGAGAGTGACCGAAAAGTTGTAAATTTTGGAAATTTCTGAGGATACTTGGTGCTAAAACGAATTAGAAAACAAATAACTATTAAAAGTTTAACATATTTAGATTTTTACAGCTTTCTTTCTTTCTCCCCCCCTGGTTCATATGGAGGATTTTTACAGCTATGATGAGAAACGTTTAAAATCTACAACAGCCCAGTCGCGTCCTTTGAGATATACTAGTGATGCGACAAAAGAGATATCTGGCATTGACCGGTATCGGCACCCTGGGGATTTGGCTGTCCAAGTGTATGCACGCTCTGCAACCGTCTCCGATTCCTTCCATTAGCCACTCGTAGGGAGCTATTTGACTAAGTACATTGTTTTAAGATTTAAAAAGTAAAGAATATTTTATATTTTTATGTACGTTTTTTCTTTAAAAGTATATTCATACAATTGAAGAATATTTTGTACCAGGTAAAAAAATATTAACTCGTCTCGATTATATATATATAGATTCAATGAAATCCTAAAGTTCATTGTTTCCTTGACATCAAGAAATCACTAATCACAGAAATCGTATTATCATCATGCACGATTCACAAAGAAAGCGCAAAGTACCAAAATTGTAATTGCTGCATCGCATCCAGAAAAGCCAGCCACTATCTTCAATCTTCTGTAATATGATTCTAAAATATCATTCGGTAGGTAATCGTCGGAAATCTCATCGATTGCTATAGAAAAAGACGTGAGAGATAATGCCAATGCCATAAATGTTAAACCCGAACTAAAGAAAATGCGTTCGCTTGTATTCACGGGAAGGATAACTGTTGCAATTCCTACCAGACTCATCAATACTGCTGTGGTGATTGCAATTTTAGGAGAATATCCAGGATTCAGTACCACGACCGTAAATTTTAACGGATCTGAAAGAATCCAGATGCATACTCCGGCTGTAACCAAACCTAATATCGCTAAAATAGCAGCAATTATCTTTAAAATTCTAGCGTTATCCATATTTTTTGTAACCTGTTTACGAACGATATTCTTGATATTTTTAATCCTTCACGCAATGCCGACACTGGCACC